CCTCTGTCCGTCCCACTGACCAATTGTGGAGTTGGACGTGACCTTGCGCCGGTCCGTGTGGTACTTGAGCAGCTCGATCTCCTCAGGACACGGCTCCCACGAGTTGTCGGCAGGAATACCTGCGGAAAACGAACACAAAACGTCAAAATAGAACCGGAATTCCTGCGGTAAACGGACAGTAAAACGTCAAATTAGGGAGCTAGGATTCATTCGGAAAGCAGGCACAAAACATCAACGTCGGGATCAGACAGCCGTCGTCGGCCGGAATCCTTGCGGTAAACGGACACAAAACGTTAAATAAAAGCTGGAATTCATGCAACAAACGGGCACAAAACAAAACTTAAGAATCAGACAGGCGTCGGACGGGACCTCTACGGTAACGGACACACAAAATAACATGAATAATCAAAGACAGCTTCAGTCGGCCGGAATATCTGCAACACGCGACAGCAAAACGTTACGTAAGAGATCTCGGATTCATACAACAAACGGGCGCAAAACAGCACACCGGGGTCAGAGACCTTGACAGTCGGCTGCTAAATTATGCAAAAACGACAAGAAAATACCTGAAGATTAGAGACAACTGCACGAACACGTCATTTCAATTTCACACAACATCGGGCGGTATATTTCGAGATTCATCATCACCCGCATTGCGTAACCGCAAACCACCGGCAGTCTGGATGTACATAACAACAAATGCGCAAGAGTTACGCCCGAAAATACCACCAACTCGCATGCGACTCACACAGTCCGCTTGGGAACAAATCAATAACCCGCATAAACCCGCGTCACGTTGTTTCCACGTCGGATATTATTTTCAGAATCGCCAAACGCGCGTCCGCTTCCCAGGGAACCCGGGCTCATTCTCAGAATTCGGCCTCATTGGTATTCCGCCAATGGCGGAGTTCCACGTCATTCGCGCCCATATTTCCGGCTATTCTGGGAAACAGCGGGGAATTCCTGCGACATCGACCCACAACTGAAGTTTGGGTTGATCGTCAGACAGCAAATTGATGCGCAGAAACGAAGTTCAAAATAAACGCAGCAGCTAGCTTAGTTAGGAATTACTGGTACGATTACGCTGACAATTCACGAGAGGAGCGTTCACAAGAACACAGCGCACTTTGTTAAACAAGGACGCAGCCCCTACACCCATGAGCATCGCCAGACGACCATTATATATTTATGAAGCTAACATACAAACAAGCTTTTTGTGTGTGTTAAGAATAACTCATATCACTACAAAAAAGTACAGGACACGGTTACCTATAACTAAATAATACGAACTAAAAGAATGCGGACAGTGCCTACTCCCTATACAATGAATAACAGGCATGAGTGAATAGGCATACGAGTGAACACGAGTCACTAAATTGTATTTCCTGTCTACCATTCCTTGCCTCGTCTACAATTTCACCCGTGTATGCTTCGCTTCCCCCCCCCCCCGTCCTTTTGCGCAACGGCGCTCTCTCAGCCATAACTATCTCTGGCCGTTCGGACACGTGGCTCTCCGGTTCCAGGGCCTTGACCACCAGTCCCCTCCCCCTCTCCCCCCTCCCCTCCCGCCCGACCACTCCCTCTCCCTCTCCCCTCCCCTCCCCCGCGGTCGTAACTACCGGCAATCCAGCGAAAAACCGCCGCAGCCGCCGCCACGCGCCGCGCCGCGTCAGCTGACTGCCCGCCGCAGCATTCTGGGTAATCAGCTGATGGCGGCAGCCGCCCAGCTGATCGACCGATCCGCAGCGGCGGCGGCGGCGGCGCAGGGCGTCATCCGACGCGCCGCATTCGTCATCATCGATTGCCGGTGGCCGTCATCCCTCAACAGATGACGCTCTCGTCGGCGGGGCGGGGTCGATCCGGGGGGGGGAGGGGAGGGGAGAAATGCGTACGACGCAGTCACCAGGGGGATGCGAAATATCACGACAGTCACAGAGACATGCCCTTTTGATATTTTTTTTTTTAGCATTAGAATTAGTGCTCTCTATGCCCTGGGACCTACGAGATGTCATCCGACTCACCCGGTTATTGAGAACATCACGAAAGTACCGAACATATTATCAAGTAAACAGTGAGTCACCAAACACTTGATTTGATGCATCCCGATCCACCCAGCACATAGCATTGCATCACCCTGATTTCATGTAAGAAAACCAACAGATGGACCTTTATCCCACAGACAAAAACACGCCCAGAGATATCCCGGGATATTCGATCAGTAGCAGACAGCGACGCAGTTCGTCAATATCGCGCGGAGGATGCTCAGAGCGTGACATTGAAGGTCAAACATGACACTGGTCCGACCCAGATATTTCCGCAAATAACCAGACATGGCGAACGATACCGCTGGTTGATTCCCTTCTCTAAACTTCACATTGAAATGTTTCAGTAGGCCAGGGATCAAATCAAAGACGAGTTTCAAGACAGCGTCACGGTTGTGTTCAATATCGATAAAAGCTGTTTGTTTGGAGACTTAAAAATCGTCAAAGTAGGTAAGAACTCAGCGACATATTAACAACAAACATACAAAGGTAATATATCGAAAGAATGAAATTGAGAGCATGCATCAAATCATAGTTTCATTTCAGATAAGATAACCACATCCGCGTAGTTTACCGTCCATCGCCAACAAGTTAGCTGCTTGCCGAGTCGTAAAACGAGAAATAAGCCGTTTACGACGACTACAAGAATTCAGGGATCTACCTTAGGATTCACATCAGTCAGGACAGCATCGATGAGTTCCAAACTCAATACCAATCCAAAAAGATAAGCTGCGCAGCATCGATTGCCACCTCCCCCCCAAAAAAACTGCAAACTCGTCGTCAGTGAAATTGAAAATAAAAACGTGAATGTACCGATGGGTTTCTGTGTTCCAACAACTTACCGAGTGACTTTGCCGCCAGCACCTTGTTCCTGCGGCAGATCTTCCTCAGTGTCCAGTTGTAGGTGTAGTCGCCGCACTCAAAGCAGTACACATAGCCATGAGTCAAATCCAGGGCTGTTGGAAAAGGTGGGCAGTCAGTAGATGCTCACCCAATAGTTTATCAGTTTCTGCTGATCTACCCATAAATGAGAGCAGGAGGCATGCTCATGAGGTGGATATTGTTGTATTCCCTCACATCATTAAAGCATTACAGAAAAGCATGGACAACACACATAACTCTAGCAGTGCAATGTTTGTCAACAGCAGCAAAAGGGAGATCATAACTAAAACTATAAGTACTTAAAAAAAAGCTCTACCAACAGAAATGTCAATTCTAACAAGTTTTCATTTTACAGTTTCTGAGAAATATTGTCCAAAGAAGCTTAAAACAGATCAGTAGTCACTAGTCAGGAGAGCCCCCAGGGAGTGCTTACCCAGTGGGTGGTTTCTCTCGCTGGCATGTTTGTGGATGTGTTTGGGCTTCATACACCCAAAGTAGATGCAGCTCAGGCATGCATGTAGTCGAGGGCCATATGTGTGGCACACATGGCACACACATGTCAGGGCCTGGAAGAGATTGTCAAAGAGTCCATTATCAGTGCCACCACTCTTCATCAACATTACTAAAGAATGAAGCTGAAAGTTTAAATTCATAGCAAATTCCTGATGTTGGAGACTGAGACACAAAAAATGGTGGTCCATAATCTAGCTTGAAGATGAACAATTCTAGTTCAACCATATCATAAGGGTATTGGTATAGGGCCTGGCACCTTAAAATCTAAATCATGGGAATTGGGAATGCACATAATGACACTATATTGGGGCTTGGTGAGAGCACACTGACAGCATGTGAGCATATTTATTGAACCACAGACAAATTAAGGTAGGTGATTGCTTGCATGGCTGATTCATTGCCTTATTTTCCAGGTGTACATTACTAGATGCTATTACAGGAATGAAATTGAAATGTGCAGGTTATGGCTTATGCCATGGGCTTTTGCACTGAAAATCTATAGAATCTCATGGTCAGGTTCAATTTTTTTTAGGTTTAATTACATTCGCATTTTCCTCTAGTAAATTGTAAGGGTGAAAGACCACCAAAAGAGCAATACCATCAGCAAATAACTACCTTTTTCAGTCGAGCCTCCGCGCTGACACAGTTGACAAACCATGAATTTATCAACTGGTAGTCCCGAAGGACATCACCTTTGGCCATCGCCTCTTGTAGGTGTGAACATCCCTTATAAAACATCTCACCAACTTAATGCGACAAATACACACGTAAACTGCGTGTGCCTATATAACACAGAAATGAATGAGAAATCCAGAAACTCCGTGCCGTGGAGCCGGGGCGCGGGGGGAGTCAGCTGTGATCAAGGGATTTCTGTTACTGACACCGACGTTTCTTTGTTCCTATGACGTCACTTATTTACACCAATAAGAATGCTGAAAAACCGTTCACTGTTATTGCGCATTCAACAACTCATAAATGACTTTTGCGAAATGGTGGCGCTAAAAAAGTAAAAATGCTCAGTCAAAAAATATCTGCACTCGCCTTCTTTTGTCCGAACATTTCAATAACAAAAACAATTGCAGTTCTAAAACAAATAACAGCTTTATATTTAGCATGTGGATTAGATATTTTTTTGGAAAGAAGGATATTTTATCCGGGGAATGTAAAGAGGACTGAAATAGATGAATTGCTCTTTTTTTGCCAGAAATTGCCGAAAGGAATTCAAAGCTTTATGGATGTTTTTTATGATGGGTAAGGAAATTTGTGACGTCAAATGTTATCAATCCAAATAAAATTTGATGTCAAAGAAATTGAAATCAAGGTTTGCTGAAATAAATTCTGAGAATTATACTGAAAATTCCAATAACCTTGAGAGATATAGAACAAAAGCGCGTAGAAATGAACAAATATCTTTGCTTTTATCTATATATCTATGCATGCATTTATCTTTGATAATAAAATCAAAGACCAGCACTTTCATGAGACGTTTTTCATCAAGGCTAAAGATTTGTTTGGCGGCGATTTTTTCAACAATGCGATATTTTTTTAAAAGTCTCTTTAGACACCGACTTTTTCCTGTTCACCAACCATCCGTAAATTCTACGCCTACTAAACAAATCTAAATGTTATTGTTTGGTAACTCGTGTCGTAGAATGAATAAGAAGTAGGTTGTTGTTTTTCTTTGCATGCATATCTTGTTGCATGCTGTTTGTTTGTGTGTGATGATATTAGTTCCAGGACCAGCAATCATTTATCTTCGTCATATTTTGCTATGTTCCGTTCTCTGATTTCCAGTAAGATCATTTTTTAATCTTCCAACTCTATGTTTCCAACAATCATGATTGTTTTTGACCACTTTCTTGCCATTTCTTAGATGGCACACTGAGGCATGTGCAAGGCATAATAATGATGAAGACGTGTTTTATGCTCACACGCTACATGACAGAGAGATATGCCATGAAGTCTGCTCAATCTTTGATGAGTTGAAGTCAAAGTTATTGTTAGGGGAAAAACTGTGGCACCTCTTAATTAGCATGCAATGCATGCAGTTTGGTCACCTATTTGGCTCAAAATAGGTTTAATAGGTAATATATGGGAGACAAGGTGATGATGAAACAGGTGATTCCGTACCAATGGACCATTAGTTGATAAGCCAGAGGCCCAGACAGTTCAGCAATCAGTTGAATGTTGAGCTGTGAAAATGCAAAATATGAGCATGGCCAGGCCCCTCTGCTAAGATCAAGATCTTCTGATCTAACTGTACTGGTCTGTTTATCCTTTCCTAACTTATTATTCTTTGGTGTCATCCCTAATTTTGTGATCTTTGTTCTTACACCCAAGGCATGGGCTGATGCTGATGGTATCTCTCTGTGCTTACTGACCCCCCCCCCCCCTGGGTCACTGCATGGTCTGAATGTCTTGTAACACATCCTTTGCTTCATTCTCTCGTGAAATAATTCACTGATGTGTTGATAAATGACTTCATTTCCAGAGACCATGCAAAATGAAGGAGCTAGCAGCAGGCTAGGTGAATCTTGCCACCTGTCAACATGCAGCCAGTCTTCCCAAGTCTAAACTAAAGGTGAGTTCTTGTCTTACAGTCATTGAAAAGTGCACACCAATGGCTACTGCTGGTCAGCTAGCTCTCTATGGTTTGCTACAAGTGGCATGCCATCAAAACCAGGAAAGCTGCTGTTTTTACCCATTTTATGAGCATGCGTCATTGTGGAGGGTTTTGCTCTTCTTGCCAATGGTATGAAACTGCTAACTCCTCCCACCCAAGATTCCTTTGCTACTCCTCCCACCCACCCCCACATATGGCACACCACCCACTGATTTGGATCAGAACACAAAGCTTTGTCAGGTACTATCTAAGCTTGGTAATATTCTCTCAGCTCTGATTTGAGTCACAGAAATATCAATGTAGGTACTTATCCATCAGTTATAATCCCTACCAATACCATCATGGTATTGCCATATATGTAAATCCTCCCGGAGTATTTACACGGCTTTCCCGGTGTAAATCCGTTCGCTCTAAAATTCCACCGGTGTAAATTCGCCCGCTCTGATCTTGCCGGTGTAAACACACCGTGTGCGCGCGGACCATCCCCTCCCCCGCCTCCAGCGTGCGGGTGGCTGGAGTCATGCCAGGTAGGCTTGGTAACATCGCGCTGGAGGGCGTTGCCCCCCGGTACCAGTGATCTGTGAGGTGTTGCCTGGTGCAGCCCCCGTTCACGAGCTCCAGAATTCCTTTACCGTGACGTCATCACGGCGCATGAATTTTCCTTCACCCATAGCAATGCATGCTAATCATGGTGTGTTTCAGGCAGCCTTAGGAGAAATCCAAGGCCTATATGTGTTCAAAAGACGTACCACTAAGCCAATGGATTCGTCTTATTACGATAAATGGGGTTGAAATCGAAACAATCGGCCTATATTTGACCAAAATGGGCCAATCAAATGGTCCTTGCAACTCATAATGAAGGATTTCCTCTGCGTTAAAAAAATTGTTTCTTGTGATTTTTATCAGCTACAGGGGAAATCCTTCATTATTGCTACCAGATTACTACCATATTCCCTCGCATTTCTGTTGCGCATTGCCTCACAAATAAAAGTTTTATAAAGTTTATACTAATTTAATTGTCATATTTTGAGTGATTTTGGCGATTGTTAATTATTTCAATGCAGCATGGATCAGATAGCTCTCATAGTTTGCTGAAGAATGAGGCTTTTGCTTGGTTATTTTCAAGTTATCTGTGATTTGGTGCGCCGTGATCGTAGCATTATACAAATTATATCAACTTTAAAAATTGAATCAACTTTTGAAGTGAAGTTCACATGAAAAACCAAAAGTTCAAGCATAATAATTGTTTAAACATAATGATGCAACATGTGTCTCCCAGGTGGAACTTATATTTCAATTGAAAACTGAAAATGGAAAACAGAAGATGGATCTGCGGAGTTACTGAGATCACAAGGTGCTCTTGATTGTTGGTAGTTGAAGATGTTGAGAGAACTTGTGAATCTGCATACCAGTACTGACTTGTTTGATTGTTCAAAACTATTTTAATTCTCATAATTGTGTAATGTGTAGTGACTCTGCACACTGCGCAGCACATGTGCGCAGAAATATGCAGGTGGCTGGTAGGTGGGTTAAACTTCGGAGATGCGAATTTGGATGTCAGTTATAAAATTAATGGTTATGCCTTGTAGAGTAAGCTCTGCTGTTATTTTTGTTTTGTTTTTGTAATTGCCTTTTTTATAATTGTAACCTACAATGCTGTTGGTTTCATTTTTATTAAATTGCTCGACCAGATTTTGCACTTGTTCATGCATGAATGGCTAACTTTGGGGTGTTTATTCAACCCTGACTGCTTAAGTTTTTCAAAGGCACATGACACAGCACGGCTAGATCAGCTGGTACCTACCTGTTGACTTTTTTTGTTTTTGGTGGTGATGTGTTTGCTGTTTGTCTTTTGCAAGGTGGTCAATGAAATAAAATAATGCATTATTTTGAAATGTTTCCTTGACAAAAGCCAGGAGCCGGATTGATGTTTGCTGGTGAATGAGATGGTTCAAAAGCATCTGATGTTTTTCAAGGTACATAAGTCATAACATCCCTTTCATACGCTGAAGTTTTAATAGCTTCTCAGTCTCTGTCATTTTCCTGAAATATTGGTGTAGATAAGAGATATCAGTACCTTCTCAGAGGTACCTCCCTTCTGCTGGATAAATATTTAATTGGTTGGATGAAATGGACAGGTAGCCTTATGATAATGTAATGTGAAATTTTATTTCTATAAAACTTTGAATATGAAGTTCTAATTATTCATATGTGCATACATTTTTGATGACTTAAGAAAGTTTTCCACAAGAGTAGATAATGTGGTAAAGTCTATCAAATGGCACATTCTGAAGGCTCAATGCTGACAGAGTGCTGCCTCAAAGAATAACTGACTTGCTGGGTTACGAATATTTCTTTGTTTCAATTTTCAAATGTAATGTAAAATACATTGCAGTGAAATAACAAAATAGTGCAGTAAAATAGGATTGGCGACGATCAAACAACACGTGCGCCATTGATGTCTGCAAAAATTGCTACCAGATTGCTACCAAATCCGTGACGTAACTACGGCGCCTTTTTTTCCCTAGTGAACCAACCTGAGTAGTAAAGTAATCTTGGCCTGGTGGTCTCCTGTTCAGTTAGTCTCCTGTTTTGGCTTTACCCCGTCTCGACACAGCCTGCTAGAGGGCTTTGGTGCCCTGTGTATTTTAGCCATTGTGGAGCTCGTACTCAGTGTCAGTCGTTCTTCGGTGTTGTCGGGCGAAAGGACTTGCTTGACCACGGATGGACTAAGAGGGGGTGAGTGAGAGTCCCGTGGAAAAACCTCGATCGTTTGCATCTGGGTCTCTGCGAGTTCACTCAGTCAAGAGGTTGATCACTGTTCAGTGTGTCACTTGTGACTCCCTCTCCATATTCTTCCCAATCCCTAGGGAAGGGAATCATGGTTTCGTGATTGTGCTTAGTTCTAACAGCAGTAGGGAGCAGCACGGCAGGATCGCATCAATGGCCTTCTGGAGCTTATAGCCGTGTCGGCCGATGCGCCCGATTTCCGGTGTCCGATACAGGGAACATACCTGGGTCCACCAATCTTTGTACCCAGAGGATGGGGCGAGCACGAGGGATCCGATCCGTTGGTGTACCTACTGAGGTCACTGGAATCGAGCTCGAGACTGCCATTGGACAGGACCATGCACCCAATGCTGAATGCAGGGTTCAGATGTGTTGAATTCCGGAGTCGGAACCGAATCATAGACCTTGCACTGATGTGTTGCGCTGAATTAGTAAGTGCAGCCGTTCGGTATCTCTCTGAATCAAGCTGGAGTCCTTTTTTGTCTTTGTGGGCTGTTCTCTTCCTTCTGACCACGCTCGGTGTTTTGGTTGGTGTCCTACTCGAGCATCGGACATACCAGTGCCGTGGTTTTTGGCCTTTACTGCCACTGTCCCTAATGGCGTGAATCTAATGCTGGCGCTGCGGCACGTGGCCCTTATTGTCGGCTTGTTTGTGTCGTGTTTCGTCTGCACGGCTGGCCGACAGCTGGGCAATGTTAATCATCTCATTTTGTGCTCACCACCACGGGATGAGGGCCGGGTGGGCGTCCCTGGGGGGGGGGGGGGGAGGCGGGGGGGGGGGGGGGGTCCTGGCAAGATGCCAAATCCCGCCCCGGCTGTGGTGACGTCATCAGATCTCCCCAACGGGCCCCCACGGGGTGGGGTGGTGGTCTGGGTCTTCGGGCTGAATCAGCTGGGAATATTGGGCTCGTCTTGGGACTGCTGAGGTAATGACATGCCTGATTATCGCCTGTTTATTTGATTGGTACAGTGGGTATTGAGTGCGGTGCACCCTGTTCAAAGCCGGCTTAATCAACCTTCTTGTCTTCCTGTTTATATTCTGATATTCATTTTATGGGAATCCAAGGATCATCTCTTGATCAACGACGGTATCAAATCTGTATGGTGATTAGTGTTTATATTCTTTACGGAGCGTCCTCAAGGGACATAGCGTCTGCGGCAATTGTGATCGGCTTCGTCTCCCAAGCCGTCTCGCATCTTCGCCTGACCCCCGGACTAACGGATGTATGGTTTCTCTGTTCCATCTCCCCCTTCCTTCGTGTCAGTATCTCGTTTACCCGCTCTGGTGAATCACTTTTCGATGCAGAGTTGCCTCTGGTCCGGGGGAGGATGCTGGTAGATTATAAAACACTGACAATGTGGCTCCCTTGGGAGATGGGTTTCCTGGCACTGGAACTCATAGCTTGGCAGGGTGCCTGTATTTGGCTTCGGGGAAAATGCTGCTCATTTCTATTGAGTTGTCGCATGCCGTCTTAATCTTCGGATGCCTTTCTGTTTACTTAAAGGCCCTCATCCAACGTTATTCTTACAATATCTCTGTCCCTCTCTTCCTCTCCCTCCCTTCCCTCTCGTTCTCCCTCCTTACCTTCTCTCCTCTCACTTTCCTTCTCCTTCTCCCTCCATCCCTTCTCCCTTCCTTCCCTGCCTCCTCCTCCTCTATCTCGTGTGATTCCTGCTCCCTGCCATCCTCCATCTGCCTGTCGATGTTTACACCTCATCTGATTCTCATCTGCATACCCTAACCCAGTCCTGTCCGTCTCCGTCGCTTCCCCTCCCCCTCCGCCCTTGATCTAAATCATCGGCATGTAACCCGGCCTTTTTGCGTGTAGCTCATTCCCGAAACCCTTTCGCATAGACTTTAATTCTACACACATACCAAAACTATTTTCTATATTACACTAAATCACTCTACTTCCTCTTTTTGTTCTTTCTTTTCACCACCCCCTCATCCCCCCAATTTCCGACGCCTGGAGCCGCCCCTGCGTCGTCTCCATCGATCAGCTGACGGCACCGTCGGTTCTGCCGTCGTCGGCGGCGGTGGCGGCGGCGGCCCGCGGCAATTGCCTCAGGCGGAGTCGGGCCGCGGTCGGTGGTGGTGGGCGAGCTGAGAGATGAGAGTGTGATGTGAAGAGTTCGGTTTTGAAGTGCTGTGACTGACTGAGATTCAA